CAGGAGGATGAACCTGAAATTCAGAAGAGATGCCAGTTATAGAACCCATGGTGAAATCCAGAGATTCCCTATGTATTCCAGACATGACCATCCTGAAAGTATAATGGGAAAAAAGTGCCATGGTCACAACCAAAGATAACTAAAAATTAACTTTAAATGAAATGTGCAGAACAGGCCAAGTCCTCAGAGACAGGAAGTAAGTTCCTGGTTGCCAGGAGGCGGGGGCAGGGAGTGACTATTGATGGGGACTGGGCTTTTTGGGGGGCGATAAGAAGTGGTGGTGGTTGCACAGGTCTGAGCATGCGCTAAAATTCACCCAGCTGTGCACTTTATTTACTTATAGGAAGGAAGAGAGAGAGAAACATCGACTGTGTTCTTCTACTTATTAGTGCACTCCTGGTTGGTTCTTATATTTGCCCTGACCAGGGATCGAACCTGCACTCTATATCAGGATGATGCTCTAACCAACTGAGCTACCCGGCCAGGGCCTCAACTGTGCACTTTATTTATTTATTTGTTTATGTATGTATTTATTTATTTATTTATTTAAAAGACTTTATTCGTTTATCTTTAGAGGGTAAGGGAAAGAGAGAGGGAGAGAAACATCAATGTGTGGTTGCCCTTCATGTGTCCCCTGCTGGGAATTGGCCTGCAACCCACGCATGTGCCCTGACTGGGAATCAAACCATGATCCTTTGGTTCGCAGGCCTGCGCTCAATCCACTGAGCTATACTGGCCAGGAGGGCTCATCTGTGCACTTTAAAATGGCAGATTTTCCTGGCCGGTGTAGCTCAGTGGATTGAGCATGGGCCTGCAAGCTAAGGGATCGCGGTTCGATTCCCAGTCAGGGCACATGCCTGGGTTGCAGGCCAGTTCCCAGTGGGGGACACGTGAGAGGCGACCATACATTGATATTTCTCTCCCTCTCTCCTTCCCTTCCCCTCTAAAGATAAATGAATAAAATCTTAAAATTAAAAAAAATAAAATGGTGGATTTTATGGCAGGTGATTTATACTCAATTTTAAAAATTATATGAGCAAGAAAAAGAAAGACCAAAAAAATGTGCAGAACACCACAGAACAGAAATGGCAAAGGGACATGCACGGCTGGAGTAAATGGAGGGGCACCTGAGGCTCCCAGGACCAATCTATGTCCCAGAGTGACAACCTGGGCCCACATTATTTTTCAAATTTGCTATTTTCACCAAAATCCTGGAGGCAATTTCTTAAAAACTAAAAGCAACTATAAATTTCACTTGGACTATGAACAAAATGCAATTCTAAGTATAATAATACTATTACTATCCCATGGACAATATTACTATGATAATTATTTAGAATAGTTGAGAAAATATGAAAATAACAATAATAATGAGGAACTTATATTGCCAGACATTAAAATTACTTTAACTCTGTAAGGTACATTAAAACTGGCAGTAGGATAGGCAAACTCCTACAAAATCCAGAAACAGATACCTGTGTAAATAAGTAGGCTTCTGGCCCCTGGCTGGTGTGTCTCAGTGGATTGAGTGCCAGACTGTGAACCAAAGGGTCACTGGTTTGATTCCCGGTTGGGGCACATGACTAGGTTGCGGGCTGGGTCCCCAGTGAGCGGGCGTGGCGCGAGAGGCAACCACACATTGATGTTTCTCTCCCTCTCTTTCTCTCTTCCTTCCCATCTCTAAAAAAAAATAAAATCTTAAAAAAATAAGTAGCCTTCTGATCCATGTAGAAGCATCATATGGTGTTGGAATGGGGTTCACTTGTTATTGAACAAATAAAGATTTCTGTAGCCGCTTACCTCCCACCACAATGGAAATTAGACTCTCTAATTTACCCGGTGTTTAATATAAATGGAAAGAAAACCATGGAGAACTGGAAGAAAATGGAGGTCGATATTTACATAAAGGGCTTCTCCAGCCCAAGTCTGTAAATTTATCACCAAGGTTAGAAATCATCAAGGAAAAGATTGACCACATATAAGAATGTAAATAAAAAGGGGGGAAGTATACCCAAGGGATTATAAATAAAGTTAAAGACAAACAAGAAACCAGGAGAAATTCATGTAACAAATATGATACATTATATATAGAAAAGGTTTTATAAGTAAGTATATAAAATATTTATAAGCCCATATGTAAAGAATTTTGATAGACTAATAAGAAAAGACCACTCCCCAATGGAAAAATGCAAAAGATGTGAATAGGCAATGTGTGTGGTCAACAATGCACTACTACAGTGAGGATGTGTCCCATCAAACTGATAAATGACACAAAACCTAACATCCAGCGTTGGCAGGAGGATGTGGGGAAATAGAAACCCTGAAACATGTCAACGGAGGCGTAAACTGGTACCACTAAGTGCAGGGTCTGTACAACCCACCAGAAAGGTCCTCCAAGGTAATTCCTTTGACACCAATTTTGGTGGTTTATCTCTGGCAAGCATTAGGGACATTTGTAAAGATTCGACAAGAGGCATATTTATTCTCTATAACATAATGGCTACAATTAAGAGGAGATTTGTGCCCTGGCTGGTGTGACTCAGGTGGTTGGAGCATCGTCCCATATACTGAGAGGCTGCAGGCTCTATTCCCGGTCAGGGCACATACCTTAGATAATGGGTTTGGTCCCAGTTGGGATGTGTGTGGGAGGCAACCAATCGATATTTCTCTCACATGGATGTTTCTCTGTCTCTATTCCTCTCTCTCTCTCTATATATATATCCTCAGGTGAGGATTAAAAAAACAAACAAAAAGTAGAGGGGATTCGTTAAGCTAGGGGACACCCATAAAATGCATGGTTCTCAAACAGGGAGGCCGGTATATGTACATCTGGGCGGCTCCAAGCCGCCCAGCCCTCCATAGCGCTGAATCCCCTGGTCACCCAGGGTTGCCCGCCTTTCCATGATTCCACGCTCCCTCTCTGGTTACAAGTCATGATGAGGACCAGTCTAGTGTTATATGAGAGGAGAGAAGGTTGGCACTCCCCTTGACAAGGATAGAAGAGGTTCTCTGACCTAAAAAAAAAAAAAAAAGATGAGGAACCAGTCTCTACCTTCACTTTCACTGTGACTCAGGAACTGCTTTTAGAAGCGTTGAGGAGGTAAGAGCTTCCTGCCATGGTGGAAATAGCAAGACCCACTGACAAGGGCTAAACAGACACATGCAGCTAGGAGCTGCCTACTGAGCACCAAGGGTCTAGGGCAATGCCCACCCCCATGTGGAAACTTCCAGTAAGAGGGGGTTCCTGATCTTTAGGATGCCCCCACTGAGTTTTTGAGTTTCTGGAGAAACACCTCAATTAGATGCATCAGAGGCTGCCCTTGGCCTTGTTCTGCCTTTCTTTGTCCGGCCAGTGGTGGGGATGGTATAGGTCCGCAGTCACTCCTGAATGACAGCCCCTTGGGCATTGGCCAGGTGGGAACACGGCCAGCTAGTCTTGTCCAAGCTGAACACTTCTGGTTCCTTCTACCAACGCCCGTCTGACTAGATGCCTAGGTGCCAGTACCTGCCCCCCATTACCTCTCCTGCTAGGACAAATTTTGGGGTGAATTGTCCTGTTAGGATGAATCACTCTCAGAAACTCACCTCTAATTCTTGTGTTCCAGGAGCCCAAGTGAATGGGTCCCAGGGTGGCCTGTGTGCAAAGCATTTCTTTCTAAAGGGTGTGTGGCTTTTTTATGGCTGCTGAAACCAATGACCACAAATTCAGTGTCCTAAATAATACAAGTTTATTCCTTAGAGTTCTGGGAGCAGGAGTCCGACATGGGTCTCTCGGGCTAACCCAGCTGTGGGCAGGGCTGGTCCTTCCAGAGGCTCCAGGGAGAACTGTTTTGGGCCTTTTCCAGCTTCTAGAGGCGCAGCACCCCTGGCTCATGGCCCCTTCCTCCATCCCCACAGCCAGCAGCGCAGCCTCTTCCACCTCTGACTCTGACCTGGCCTCTTCCCTCTTGTGAGGACTTATTTATTTATCTATCTATCTGTCTATATACCTATATGTCTATTTATTTATAATCCAGGGTCATCTTCATCTCAAGGGCTTCAACTCAATCCTATCTGTAAAGTCCCTTTACCATGTGGGGTGACATGTCCAGAGATCCCAGACTGGGATGAGGACATCTTTGGGGGATGTTATTCCAAAGGACAATAATGCTCCCCAATTTTTAACCTGGCCCTGGAACTCACTGTGATACATTTGAAAGTGGAAAGGTAAGGAGACAATGGCTTCCTAGGAGGTATTTCCAATAACATGGAATTCACTCCCTTGGAACAGAGACCTCTCCCTTCCCACGGAGTCAGCACGCCCTCTGGGGGCCAGAAGCCACACTGGGCCACACTGGGCTCACAGGTTCCCGGATGTCAGTTGCCTGGTGGCTCCAGGTGACTCCATGTGGCCTTGGCATCCACCAGACCCCTCTTCCCCATCTGCTCCTGTGCCAGAAGAATGGCCCGCAACACACCCCCCAGCTGCCCCCTAAAGACCAAATCCTGTTGGCTCTGGAACTGATATGTTACATTCGAAAGGAGCCCCGGAGAGTAAGATGTCTGCTCCCATTTTTGACGTATGAGAGAGGAGTTGGACGGTCACTGTCTGTGTCAAGGTGCAGGGCTAGTTAGTAAGGGCTGGAACGGGAACACCCCTCTGTTCCCTCCTGATCAGTTCTTCTGTAGTTGGTCCAACGTTTTCTGGAAACTTCTCTCACATGGCAAAAAGGCAAAGGCAATGGGAGAGTGAAGCACACCCCCCCTGTGGCGTTTCCCCACCGATTTTTGATACTTTTGACCTAATTGCCCCCGCCCTGTACCCCATGAAATTCTAACCCACCCCCATTCTGCATATCTAGTTATCGACTGGGGTACTCTGGCGGACCACAAGCTGTTGTGACATCCATTTCCTCACCACTTGAGGATGGATGAGAGCACCCCAGTGACAATGACAATCATGTGTCCCAACACCAGGCCCTCCTGCCAGAAAAACAGAAATGGCAGCCAGCAGCAGCGGGTATAAAAATGACACAATTTATTCTATGTTCATGTGTGAATATCTACAGGCACAAGAGGGTGGAGAGGGGCCCCTTCTCGCCACACAGCACCTGCCACCTTCCCCAACCTGGCCTGGCTGCAGGGAAGAGCTGGCGGTGACCTGGGAGAGGTACAGTGGTTTTGGCATTTGGTCGTGGTTTTGTATTTAAAAGGCGCTATATTCGACTGGGGTCCGTGTGCCCAGGGATCCGAAAGCTGGAGAGTGTCCAGAGGACTAGGCTGAGGTCGTGTTAACTGCACTTGTGTGGTGCTGGGTAGGGGTGCCCCTCTATTCTATAGGTGTCCCAGGCACCCAGAGGTCCTCAGAGGTAGGTGGGGTTGGGTGGGAAGAGCTGCCACTGTGGTGCCCTGAGGGCAGGGGGCCTGGAGCAGCACGTGGCTTCCCGATGTCACTTCCATGCCACGGGCCCCCGTATCCTTTGGGGAGATGGCACTGTGACTCTGGTCCCTTGGCCACAGAGGGCCACATCAAGGGTTTCATATAAATTGGGCAGGCACCTTAAGAAAGGCCAAGTTCAACGACCCCAAACCTGGAAAAGGCTCCATGGAAGGGTCACCCTGGGTTATTCATAATGGAGGGGTGTTTGTCCAGAGGGGAGGTGAGTTCACTATTTATAGATAAAAGCTGTTTTCTCTCAACATCTCAAGGTGGGTGCCAGTTGAGATTGTATACAAACTCAATCTTTTATGATATGTGAAGGGGCCCCAGGAAATCTGGGGTGTAGAAGTGGGGTCTGGGAAACCCTGGCAGATGAGCCAGATGTTCTGGAGGAACTGAAGGAAGAGAAGGGGACTGAGGAAGAGGGTGGGCAGCCAGGGCCATACTGTACCTCTCATGACACAGACACGGGGCTGCAGGAAGCGCGCTGTGAGGGAACTGAGACTTGAAGGCACAGCAGAGGCGGGCTCCCGTCTTGCTGACCCAGAACCCGTGTGGCCTGTCCTCTCCCAGGCCAAGCGTGCTAGGGGCCTTAGGGGACAGGCCCATGAAGGGCAGGTAGAGCTCTGGCTTCCAGGCAGGTCCAAGTGCTTTATAGAGAAAGTGGATTTTTCTAGTTGCTCACAGCACACAGAATCAGAGTTCAAGTTCAGTCTCCCTCCCCCTGTGGGACTCTGGGAGGCTGGGCCTGCTGTCTCCTCAGAATCAGAGAGAGGGCTCAAGCCGTGTCCAGTGCAGCATTGGGGGCACAGAGGTTACTGTCTGACCACTGGGGAGGTCAGTGACCTGCTGGGGCAGAGAGTATAGTCCATATTCCAGGGAGGTGGCCATCAAGTCGGAGTGTCCCCTGGCACTGCCTCAGTGACAGTGGGGCCAAGAGGCTCTCAGTGGCACATCCGTGCAGTCATTTCTTTCTGTTAAGAACAAGCAGGACATCAGGTATTGACACAAGAGGTGAAAAAAATCACACACACACACACACACACACACACACACACAGAAAGCAGGGGATGAAACTCAAGAGAATTATGGACCTCATTTAAGGCCAAACCTTACGGCATGGCTCAGTGGATTGAGCACCAGCCTGCAAACCTGAAGTCTGGTGGTTTGATACCCAGTCAGGGGCACATGCCCGGTGTGGGCTAGGTCCCAGGTTGGGGGCGTGTGGGAGGCAACCAGCTGATCGATGCTTCTCTCCCTCTCTCCCTCCCTCAGCCTTGCTCTAAAAATAAATAAATACAAAATTAAAAAAAGGGAATACACAGCAGCATGCCTAGGGCTGGGGTGACAAGCTCTGTGAAGGGCCTGAGAGGCCACTTTGTCAGCTCCAGAAGCCAGATGATGTGCGGCTGCTCAATTCTGCCCTGCTGCCGAAAGCAGCAGCAGCAGTAAGGGAACAGGTGAGCCTGCTAATGAAACTAACTATTCACAAAGCCCGGTTTACTGGCCCTGCCAGCCAGCCCCGCCCCAGCCCCGCCCACCAGGCCCCGCCCACTGACCAGCGGCTCCAGCTCCTTGGTGTCTATGAGGCCAAACTCCTTGACGAAGTAGTAGAAGTGCTTGTAGCATGTGTTGACGTGCGCCTCGGATCCCATCTGCGCGATGCGGTCGAAGTGGTGGATGTAGACGTGCACGAACACGCGGAACAGCCGGGACAGGATCTTCTTCACCACCTGCAAGAAGTTCTTGGGGAACGGCGTGCCTGTGGACGGTGAGAAGGACCAGTGTACTCAGGAAGCAGCCTCAGGGGTCCAGCTTGGCCCTGGAACCATGCAGCTCTTGGACTGCCAGAGTAAACTAGCCAGTGAACTCGTGAGGCTCAGAGAGGCTGAGACACCTGTCCAAGTTCACACAGACCATGTCCTGGTTTCCTCCTGCAGCCAAGTGTTGACTGATGGGGTGGGAGGTGTCTATTTCTGTGAAGGAGCCCCTTTCTCCATGGTCCATAACCTCCCGACTACCCCACCCCCGTCTCTCACCTCCACGGAGCCCATAAAACGCTGTGAGAAACCCACTGCCAAGCTTAACGATGCTGAGGAAGGGATGAAGACAGGCCTGCGGGTAAAGCCCATCCCCGGGGTAATCAACATCAGCCAGTCTGGCCCTGTTGGTCCAGCCCTTGCTGGGAATGTGCTGGGAGCCACACATTCCATCTGCCTTTGTCCCGTTCCCTTCACAGAACCCAGAACGTTCCCTACCTGCACCTGCCAGCTGTGGATCTGCTATGTCTACTTTGGGACCCGACCATGTGTGTGAAGTTCCAGTAATATTTATTTTTCTTAATAGAATGGGAAAACCCCTAAAAACATTTCTAAAAGTTTATTAATTTATTTTTTAAATATTTATTTATTTTTTATAGACAGGAAGGGAGGGAGAGAAACATCAATATGTGAGAGAGACATCAATCGGTTGCCTCTCACATGTCCCCAACCAGGGACCTGGCCCACAACCCAGGCATGTGCCCTGACCAGGAACTGAACCAGTGACCTTTCTGTCCACAGGCCAGTGCTCAATCTACTGAGCCACACCAGCCAGAGCAAAAGTTGATTTACAGAGAGAGAGAGGAAGGGAGAGAGAGAAAGAAACCTCAATTTGTTATTCCACTTATTGAGGCATTCATTGGTTGATTCTTGTATGTGCCCTGACCAGGGATTGAACCCGCAACCTTGGTGTATTGGGACGACGCTTAACCAAATGAGCCACCTGGCCCAGGCCTAGAAACATATTTTTGACTTTTGATATTTCTCACTTGATATCTTTCTCTCTCTCCATTTAAAGTGCATTCTTATAATATTAAATTTGATGTACTCATCAGAGCTTCATTGAGTGCACACACTACGCTGCACTTTCTTCTCCAGTTATCATATTTCTTTACTTTTAAAAATTGTGGTAAAATACACCCACCGTGACATAGATTCCTTATCCGAGCCATCCGAGGTGACAGGTGGCTGGCATGAGGCACATTCACGTTGCTGTGTGCCCCATGGACTCCTTCCTGCTTCCCCAACCAAGGCTTTGAGTCCCCTTCATCCCACGGATAAGATGGAAGCTATGTGTTAACGAGATCCAACCAGGGCTACCAGGTAGGGACCAGGACTGACAGACCAGCCCATCCAGAGAGGGGTTGATGGGTCAGGGGGGACATGGGGATGTCACTAACAGTGGGAAAGCCACAGGCACACACTCTCGGGTGATGGGACCTCAGCAGCTGGATAGCACTGTGCTGATGAGGCCTGCGGTTGGCTGAGTAATGGCCCAAAGAGGTCCAGGTGAGTGAGGGACTCCATGTGCAGGGGCATAGGGAGCTGACAAGGCTGCTCACCACGGCAGAGGTTCAACACATGTCCAGTTAAAAGGCAACTGGGAAAGAACAGGCTCTCTGTGCACAGCAGGTCCGACCTGGCCTGCTGCCTCCTCCATGTCTCACAACGTGAGACCTGATGACTCTTTATTCCTTCAGCTGCACTCCCTGGGAGAGGGAGTACGGGAATCAGCAAGGGTGATGCTGGGGAAGGCAAGTGATTTAGAGCAGTGCAACCTAGGAGAAGGGCTTAGAAATGTAACCTCCGGGATGGCACCACCCATGCCTGCAATGGTATTCTCACGCTGGGGCTGAAATCAGGCCCACCACCTGCTTTTGTAAATAAAGTTTTATTAGAATACAGACTAGCTTGTTTGTCTATATAGTGACTGCGGAAGCTTTGGGGCTACATGACAGGTCTGAGTAGTTGAGACAAAGACCTTCTAGCTCATAAAGCTGGAAAGATATGATCTGTGGTCCTTCTTTTTTGATGTTGTCCCTTAGAATTTTGTGGTTTTATTAGCACAAACAATGTGTACACAATTTGTTCCCTTTCTTCGCTGTGGAGACTGGGACTGGTGACCCTGAGGGCCAGCAGGGCTGCTCCGTCCACACAGACCTCGCAGTTCTCTGGGGAGACGTGGTGAGCAGTCTCGGCGCAGCAAGGTTTGCTGCCTGTCAGCAGCACTTCAAGCTCCTTGACACTGACACCCAGCGGGCAGCACGTGCGCCATTTTCTTGGTGCTCCGATGACCAGCGCTGGCACTAAGACCTGGCCTCAACTCTTCTGCGCGCCCCACTGTCAACGCCTCTTGATTTCCTCCAGTTGAGCTTAATTGACATATCAGTCTGACTGGTGCCAGATAAACTTAAAAAACATATATATTTTTTAATCTCACCCAAGCGTATTTTTTCCCATTGCTTTTTTAGAGAGACAGGGAGGGAGAGACAGAGAAACATCTATGCGAGAGAGAAGCACTGACTGGTTGCCCCCTATACATGCCTGGACTGGGGACTGTACGCATACCCAGACAGAGGATTGAAACTGCAACCAAATGTGTGCTCTGACTGGGAACCGAACCTGCAATCTTTTCGGTTACAGGATGCTGCTCCAACCGAGCCACAAGGGCCACAGCCAAATGAACTTCTTAGTCCTTTTTCTGACAATCTTGTGTTTTGTGAGGGGTCTGAGGGCAGCCATGAAGCCGAGTGGGAGATGGCTGCCACCTTCAAAGGCAGTGCCAAGGAAGAGCTACTGTCCTTCATGGGAAACGTTCACCACCCCAATCCAACACTAAAGAGCCTGAGCCAGCGGCGTGGGGCCTAGGTGGGTGTGCTGGCGTCAACGGCACAGGCATGGGGGCCTGGGATAAAGTTTGGACCCTGTTTTTTCTTTGCTCAGCCACAAATCTAACCCCGAAGAACACCTGGAAGGCTCTGCTTTTCAGAAACGCCACAGAAGCAGCAGAGACACTGCTCTCCAGGGGGAGCACTGAGTCCCGCCAGCCTGCCTGGGGGTCAGGGCAGGCCGAGGGGCCCCAGGACTTGCACAAAGGGTAGGATGGTACGGCCTGGGCCAGACAGACCTCAGGAAAAGCAGGGTGACTCTAGACTCCATGATGTGATTGTGTGGCAGAGGCTGGGGCCCAAACACATGTCTGGGCAGCCACGTGGCACCTGCCAAGTTCACTTTCTCTTGATTGCTCGTCAGTTTCCTCTTTGGTAAAATTGCTGGAATTATCATTCTACAGGTGAGGAGCTGACTAGAGGAACTCAGGGTCTAAGGGTCCAAGTTCTGGGGTATGGACCCCTTCAGGAACTGTCAGGACTTCAGGGGTGGCCAGTGGGCCGTGCGGACAGACTGCGGCCACAGCACCACTCGGTGATGGGTGGGAAGGTTGGGGCACCTGTGAATCCCTCCTTTGGCAAAGCGTCTCTTCTGAGCCGGCCTTTCTCAGACGGGCCTCTCTGAAGGCCCCTGCCAGTGGCAAGCCCACTCCCTGTACAGAGGGTGAGCGAGGTTGAGGTGTGAGAAAGCTGACCAGGCACAGAGCCCATCAGCCACCAAGAACTGGGGCCCGAGGCCTCTGAACATTTGGGCTTGAGACCCATTCACCCTGTTTTCCGAGACGCTGTGTTGACGCCAGTGGGGACAGTGACAAGGGCCCTGTGTGGGTCTCCTAGGGCTGCTGTAACAAACACTGACAACTCCGTGCTTCAGAACTGCCCTCCCGTCTTCCCTCACGGTCCTGGAGGCTGTAGGTCCCACGCCAGTTACACGGGGTGGAGGTGTCGTGGGCAGGGTTGCTTCCTTCCAGAGGCTCCAGGGCAGATCCATTTCCTGCTTTTTCTGGAAGCTGCTGGCATTCCTGGGCCATAGTTCCTTCTTCCTTCTCCTGTTGTTACATCACCTTCTCTTGTAGGTGTTGAGTGTCCCTTTGCTTCCCTTTGACAAGGACGCTCCTGATGCAATTTGAAGCCCACCTGGATATTCCAGAACAATCTCCCCATTTTAAGAGCCTTAACATGAAGCAAACCATACCCCTCTGCACACTGGAATATTACTCAGCCATGAAAAGGAGTGAAGCTTTGATCCTCCCTACAACATGGATGAACTTGGAACACATGTGGCCAGACACAGAAGGCCACAGACCGTGACTCCATTTATGTGACGTGTCTAGAACGGGCAAATCCACACAGGACAGGGAGTGAGTAAGTGGCTGATGGGGACAGGGATCTTTGAGGTACTAAAATGTTCTGGAATTAAAGGGGATGATTGTATAACCCTGTGGATATACTAAACGCCACTAAACTGACACTTTAAATGGGTGCATTTTGTGGTTTGTGAATTCTATCTCAGTAAAGCTATTATTAAAACATGACCACCACCTCTCCCCTCTGCACACCCACACCTTTTCCCTCCTCCCACCCCAGGGTGGGTTACCTTTACCTTTCTCTCTCCCAAACTCCAAGGGCCCTTCTTTTGCCTCTGTAACTTGTTTTCTGAGTCCATTCCTTCTGTCGCTCACTTCTACTTCTGCTACTTTCTAAACAAGCTTTCTCTCATGGTGTGAAAAACAACCACGCCCCAGCCCCAGGCTGCCCAACTCACCCACGCTGGTGGGGAAGACATCTTCGTTGTTGATCTGCACCTCGATCCAGTCCATGAGCAGGTCCATGTACTGCGGGGCCGACAGGGCTGTGGGCTTGCGGAACCTGTGCTCATCCTGCCAGCGGTACTCGTACTTGGGGCCGCCGGACATGACCGGGCAGGACTGCTCGGTGCAGTCATCGCTGATGGTACCGTAGATGAGGTTGACGCGGTTGAAGAAGTCCACCACGTGCACGGCCACCCAGTCATTGAGCTCCTCGCCGGGGGGCAGCTGCACGGCCAGCTTCAGGTCCAGCCCCGCGTTCAGTGAGGCCTGCGCCTTCTTGTGCAGCTCGAACCGCTGGGTGCCTGGCTCAAATTTGCGCTTGGGGCGGAAGGTCTTGTCTTTGTTGAAGACCTGCTTCAGGAAGGGGTTGGACATCGTGGTCCTCACTGTGCGCTCTTCCAGAGGCTTCCGCAGACAGGGCTGGGCAGGATGCAGGTATCAGCCACCAACCCAGGTGACCAGAAATTCACTGGCCCCCAGGTCTTCCCTGAGATCTGAAATACAGAAAGAGGAAGAACTGTCACCTGTTCCCGGAAACCCTGTTCTGGAAGCAAGAGTGGGCCACACTGGGGAGTTTTCCCAGGACGTCTGGTTTTATCAAAAGGGAGCCAGCTCCTCAGTAAAAAGAACTGCCAGAGGCATGTCCTCATTGCCTCGGAGCAGGAGGCACTGAGTCAGGACCTCCGAGAGCCCAGGCCAGCTGGCACCCTACTCCTGCCCCCAGCATCTGGAGGCTTTCTATAAACTGGGAGACAGCACTCTGGCTCAGGGTGACTGCGGCGGGCCAAGTAGTGGTCTCCATACAGAGATGTCCACATCCCTAAGACCTGTGATTAGGAAAAAGAGCCTTTGCAGGTGTGATTAAGTTAAGGATCTTGGGATGCTTGTGTCCTGGATTTTCCGGGTAGGCCCTGAATGATGCGTGCCCTCCTAAGAGGAAACACACACGTACACACGGGGGAGGTCCATGTAACAAAGCAGGTCCGTGTAACAAAACAGGGGTGATGAGTCTACAGGCCAAGGGACAGCAGTGATTGCCACCACCACCAGAGCAGGGCCTGGAGCAATTGCCCGCTCTGAGCCCCAGAGGGAGTCAGCCTTGCTGACGCGCCCCCAACCCCTCTGGCTGGAAGGGAAGAAATTCCTTTTGCTTCTCTGTATGTCTATATCTCATTATTTGATTAGGGCCTGCCTTATAATACAATGGGACCTCATTTTATCATCTTGATGACATCTGCAAAGACCCCATTTCCAAAGGGTGGACATGCATCTGGGGGGACACTATTCCCCAGAACATTAGCTAAAAAGCTTGGATGAGCTTGTCTGGGTCTTATCTGCGTGTCCATGGGAACATGCCAGACACCCACCCGGTCCAGGGGCAAGGCCTTGAAGGGGGCTGCAGCCATGTTCCCCGCCACAAGGGCCCCAGTCTCCCACCAGATCCACCTTCTCCTGTCCATGCCCAGTCTCCTCTGTTACAGGCGGAGAGTAACAAGCTCCATCTCAGAGGTGAGAAGATAAAAGGAACACAGGAAGCCACAAGCCCTGGTCACATGCAAGCTGCCATCACTCCGTCATCCCCTACATCACCATCAATCTGCCACAATGATGGTGCCGCCGACCTGCATCCTCCTTGTTCTCCCTCCTCAGACCCAGGTGGGTGCACCCTCCTGGGAATGTGCAGGGGGTGGAAAGGAAGGGCAGGGCTGGTGGGGTGTTCGCCAGAGAGAGGAAGTGGAAGAAGCGCCTCTGTATCACCACAGGCCCAGTTCCACAATACTCACCCATGGGTAATAAATAACCATTTACAATATTATAGGAAATCCCGTCCTCTTTGTGCTTTGCTTCAATTGCAGTGTGAACGAAAAAGGGGCAATCGAGTAGACCTGACCAGCCCCGGGGCCACGTGGCAGGCCTGGCATGCTAGTGACCAAGAGAAACTGCACTAGATGATGTGACCACCTCCCCAGGCAGGTCGTGGAGGGCAGTTACATCCCAGGCCTACGGCTTCCTTAGCAAAAGGGCAGTCTTTTCCTTAAGCAAGCCCTCCCCACTGTTCTTGTGCATCTAGGTTAACACTGTTGAAATGTCAGAGATCTTTTTCTCCAGACCCCTCGGCGGATGAACGTGCTCACCAGCTAGCACACTCACCCCGCAGCATTCTCGGGGTGCCCATACCCGCCCATGCACTGTAAATGCTGCGTGTTAGCTGCCCTGCACTCCCCGTGTAAAAGAAATGCGTGTCTCTCCATTTTCCTTTTTACACAATCCTAGGATTTCCCCCTTTCCTTTCTCCTTAATCTCCCACCAATAGCCTTCCTTATTGTCCCTCCTTTGATTCCAAATTCAGAAAAAGAACTGCAAACTGCCATTCTGGAGCATTTTCTCAATCCCTTGAGAACTAGTTTCTAGGCATGTCCTCAGTTTGGCTAAAAAAAAAAAAACAACAAAAAAAAACTTAATAAATTCTTGTAAGATCCTTCTTATAAGGTCTGGATGTATTTCGTCAACAGTGGGAGTTTGTTTCCGTGCTGTGTGGCCAGCTGGGCTCACCTGGATGCCTGCCCTCCAGGCTCAGCATGCTGTGTAGCAAATGAGCCCAAACCAAGGAGACTGGTCCTCACGTCTTCTGCAGAGGTGCCACTCAACCGCCGAGGCCCAGGGCAACTCCAGCGGAGTAAGATCCACTGAAGTCGGCTCAGCCAAGGCCAGGCTCAGCCAAAGGGAAGCACATGTCCACTCCGACCACAGCACCCAACTTAGTGCAGCGGGTGTAGGCCAGGGTCTAGTCTAGTCCTTCCTGGGCCCAGAGAGTGAGCCATCACATACAAACTGTGTCCTTGGGGCCAAGGTGAAGTGACTCTAATGACAAGATGGCCTGAGGGTGCTGAGGATTTCAGCACATTTAAAAAAGCTGAGTCATGACTTGGGCCTCATCCTGGAGCCCAAGAGCCTCCTTCTGGCTGGGCCCTGCCCTGCTCTGGGCACAGGAAGAGTCTCTGTGTGCGGAGGGCTCCTCGCCCCGGGGCCTTCAAGAGATTCCTCTGGAACCACAGCCAGCTCGAGTCTCTCCCATTGCTGGGCTCAGAGGGAACACGACAGAGTTTGCCCTTCCACCCTCATGTACTCAATGGAGACTTCAGGGCGGAAGGTCCGGCTCTTTCAGAAGCCTTTGGTTTAATTCCAGAGACCAGATATATAATAAAAAATGCCTAAACCAGCGTTCTCACCTGGGTGATCCTGCCCCCAGGGGACTCTGGGTGATGTCTGGGGACATCTGTGGCTGTCACAACTGGGGGTGCTCCTGGCATCAAGCAGTTGGGGGGCAGGGATGCTGTTCAACACCCCACAGTGCCCAGGCAGCACCCCACAAGAGTGATCCGGCCCAGTGGCAGCAGTGCTGGGGTGGGGGTGGGGAGCAGTGGGGGGAGTAGGTCCTGGGGTCATTTCACACAACTGGCGAAACTGGGCAGACGCACCCTTCCGTGTGGCAGAAACCAGGTAAAACACAGACACTGAGGGTGGGGATGGAGGAATCAACCAAAGATAACCAAGCCAGAGGACGAGAGGAGCCCCAGTGCAAGGGCGGCAAACTACCCCCACACACAAGGAGGGCTGACAATCAGTGGTGCTGGCAAGGACCAGGAGAAACCGGACACATTGCCAGCTGGCGAAAATACCAAAGGGGCAGTGCTGTGGAAAACGGTCTGGCAGTTAAGCAAGCAGGGTTACCATCTGGCCCAGTAACTCACTCCTAGGTATCTACCCCAGAGAAACAACAACACACATCTACACAAAACCTGCACACGGAGCCTGTACACGAATATCCACAGCAGCACGACTCATGATAATCACTGAAGAGTGGGAACAACCCAAGCATCCATCCACAGGTGATGGACAACACAACGTGGTCTGTCCGCACACACTGGAATATTACTTGGCCGTGAAAAGGAGCGAAGCACTGATACTTGATACAACACGGGTGGACCTTGAACTCAGTGACAGAAGCCAGATACAAGAGGCCACAGCGTGTGTGACTCCATTCATACGAAATGTTCAGACAGGCACATGCATGGGGACAGGCTGGGGAGGAAGGCAGGGTAACAGGTGACAGGGACCGGACTTCTTTTTGGGGTGGTGAGAATGTTTTGGAACTAGATGGAGGTGGTGGTTGCACAGCTCTGAACACACCAGATGCGCACGTGCACTTTAACGGGTGGAGTGGACAGTGGGAGGATGACAGCTAACAAAGCTGTTACTTCTTAATAAAGTTTTACACTTATAAATACAGAATTTAAAAGTTGTTATTTTTTTAAAGGTGGATGAAGGACAAGCTGATCAAGTGCTGGCTGAGTATCTGCCCCAGGAACCTTGAAAAACTAGAGATGCTCCCACCTGTACTTCTTACAGAAACCACTCGTAGAATCACTGTAGCTGTGATTCTACAGAAAACTATCCGAACTATAAGGTGCAGGGAGTGATGCGCCCCAGCGTGAACAAGGCCTGCACAAAGTCTGACCCACTGGGTGATGCCGCCTGAGGCAACCTGTACTCTGGAACAGAAGGGACCCAGTGCCTCCCACCAGACCAGAAGGGCCACTATTTCCTTCCCCAGATCCAGCCCTGGGGCGCTGGCTACCATCGTCACTTTCTGCCACCTTGGTCAACACCCAGCTAGGCACGATCTGAGAGGAAAACGGCACCGGCACTTTACAGATGGGGAAGATTAGGCCCAGCCTCGTCCCCCGCCCCCTCCCTGCCATAGCATTGCTGACTTTGGGACTGGGTCACTCTCCTGGGGGCCTATCTTGGGCACTGTGGGGTGGCCCCATCCACTTAACGGCAGGAGCACCCCCAGCTGTGACAACCACAGATGTCCCCAGACATTGCCCAGCCCAGGAGAGAAGCACTGGGTCAGATATGAGTCAGTTCTGAGTAATTACTGATCACCGAGTCAGTTTTTCAGGCCGTGCAGCTGGTAGGAGGAAGAGCCGGAGCTCAAAGCCTGAACCATGAGGGTGAAGCCTGCAGTTCTTTCAGCGAGGCCATGTGCCTTTAAAAGGTACCACCCATCCATTACTCCAGCATCCACCTGTTTTATTTCAAACCCAGTGCCAGGTGCCCTCCAGGGTGGTCTCTCCCCCACTAGAAACCTCTGCAACGCCAGCCAGCAGAGTCCAGACCAGTGCCCTTCCAGGTTTAGGTGAGTGGGCACAGCCCTGGGTGCCCAGGGCCTGGAGGGCAGGAAGGTAGTGTCCCCAAGAAGGGAAAGGGGCAGCCCCACTCTACCCGCTTCTCTCCTACCATGGATGGACAGGACAGGGCCCAGTCTCAGACCACTCCCCACCCCCCCCTTCCAGAAGCTCTGACTGAGAGGCCACTCCCTGACCCTTGTCTCAGAGACTAGCTGCATCCCCCAGGGCTGGGCAGCCCAGGGCTCTTCCATCCCATGGGCAGGTACACAGGACACAATGGGTGGGGACCCTGCAGCACCACCTATGACTGCTTACTGCCCACGTGGCCCATACACCTGCCTAGGTGATGAATCTGCAAAAGGAGCTGCTGTCACGCCAATCTGGGGGCGGGTCAAGGGACGGAAACCTGTGTGGGCTACCCAGAAAAGCCAGCCACCGTCCCCATGCCCACTGTTAGCTGGCACCATGGAAACACTTTCTCATCCTTGGTCTTCTTTCGGCCTCCAAACACCCCTCCACATGCGGCATGGGCTGCCCCACTTGGCAATAAGACGAAGTGCGGCACTGCGTCCCTCGTGGAGTGGAGTGGCGCTGGCCCAGCAGGGCCACAGAGCCCACAGCTGCCTCCATTCCAGGCTCCTGTTCATCCTGCAGCAAAACATCTGCCCTGATAACACAAAGAAATCTGCACCGCCAGCACCTGGTTGCTACCTCCTGTTTACTTGGGTGCTTCTCTGCTGATGGCTTTGGGGGTTTAACCTCTGACATCAACTGGGGACAGGAGGCCTGGGAAAGACAGGAGCTTCAGAGAGGCGGTGGCCCCACTGCCGGCCTCAGGCACGCTGCCTTCTCTTGGTCCACATCCTCCCATGCCACTGCCGAGATGGTTCTGGAAGATGGGGCAGGGCAGTGGAAGGAACTCGCAAGGCTCCTGCTTGCCTTTCTGACTCTTCTCAGAAGGTGGGAGGATTTTGTTAAGTGGAAGCAATGATTTTCTGAAAAACTTCCTGGACAGGTAGAGTTCCCGCTGAAGGCAAATGATTTTCTATCAGAAACACGCACACATCCCATGGCTGAGGGGTGACCAGCTGCGACCCGGGCCATATTACTGCCCTTTTACCGTGTCCTGGGACAAGCTTGTGGGAACTCACTGCCAAGGGCTCTCCTGGATAACTGGTTAATTTTTCTTTTTTAAAAGATTTTATTTATTTATTTTCAGAGAGTGGGGAAAGGAGGGAGAAAGAGAGGGAGAGAGACCTCTGTGTGGCTGCCTCTCTCGCACCCTACACGGGGGACCTGGCCCTCATCCTAGGCACGTGCCCTGACTGGAACTGAACCGGCAGTTCACTGAACCTTTGGTTCACAGGCTGGCGCTTAATCCACTGAGCCACACCTGCCAGGGCTATTTTTTAAATACTTTATTTTTTATTGTACTTTTATCCCATTACCATTTATCCCCTATACACTCTCTCCTACCTGCCCCCACCCACCTGTCTGGTTCTTTCCACAGATGAGGTGTGCGTGGCACCCGGAAGCTTCTAGCGTGACGGAAGGTAAGACAACAAAATTCCCAGCCAACACATGCCTACCTCCCTTGTCTTCCTGAAAACAAAACAGAACACAAACCCTAGTTCCTTTAAGTAATGTCAGCAGCAAAGCCCAGCCTATCACCACTTCCTTCCGGTGCTTTCACATCCTGCCTCTTGCTGCTAACACTGCCACCACCGCAGGGACACTGCCCCAACCTGGGGGTGGGGGTGGGGCGGGAGCGGCAGGCCCCATCTGTGACATCGGTGCATGGGTTCAGGCTGGCAGCCCAGGCGTTTGGCTGGAAGATGCTCGCGGCCCGGGTTCTGTCCCATATAGAAGCCAGTGTCCCACACTGCCTTCCACCACCCTAATGTTAATTTTTATTTATTTACTTATTTTTAGAGAGAGGGGAAGGAAGGGAGAAAGTGAGGGAGAGAAACCTCTATGTGAGAAAATCGATTGGTTGCTTCTCACATGAGCCCTGACCAGGAACTTGACCGAAAATTGTACCGGCGACTTTTTGCTTTGCCGGACGATGCCCAACAAACCAAGCCACACTGGTCAGGGCGGTAAAGTCCATTTTTCAATTTCACCACAGTCCCCAGTACGGGAAGGCCCCGCCATCTTGCCGGGTGCTCATGGGACTGGCTTTGGGCCTCCCCCTGCACAGGGAGGGGTTTGCATTCTGTTGGCCTTTTGCACTTGCACCTTGGCTTTGCGGTGGAGCTCTCCGGCATGTGCTGTACAAAAGCAGGAAGTGAGGTTTATAGGGGCTGCTCCATGCCAGGTGCTGTTGAGGGGTTCCATAGATTCCAGCCCAAATGACGTACAATTCACATGCTGTAAATTCCACCCTTTTAAAGTATACCCCAATTCCACAGCATTCCCATCACCCCAAAAGACACTGTGCCCATCGGCAGTCACTCCCCTCCCCCCTCGGGTTGAATTAAGGGTTGCATAGTGTCCCCCCAAAAGATATACTCAAATCCTGACCCCGGTAACTGTGAATGAAACCTCGTTTGGAAATAGGGTCTGTTAGGGTGAGGTCACACTGGAGTAGGGCAGCCCTAATGTAAGGACACATGTTCTGATAAGAAGAGGGTGATTTGGACACAGACACACAGAGAAGATGGTCATGTGACAATGGAGGCAGACAAACCCAGAGATCAAGAACTGCCAGTAAATCGACAGCAGCTTGGAGGGGCAGAAAGGACCCTACGCAGGGCTGAGAGCAAAGAGCTCACTGCATATGGAGAAGGGCTAGGATCCGAACTGGGTGTCCCTACGTCCCTGCCTCTGTTCCACTAAGACAGAGGGGGGTGCAGGGGGTGCATGGACCAGCGTGAGGATCCTGTACCTGATAAAGAACTCCTCTCTCTGCCTCAGTTTCCCACAGGGGCAAATAAAGATGTAATTGTTTGACAAAACTGTGTCACCTGGGGGGCAGAGAGGAACGTGACAGTGGTCATGGATTGTTGATATGTCCACTTAGGAGCCACACCTCCTTCTTCTGAGGACGCAGCCCAAGGTTTCAGGAGATCCCACTGCATCCTCACTGACCAGAGGCATGTCAGGAAGGGCAGAATACATGAGATGGTGCTGCCTTAACTGCCATCCAAACATATGCCCTCTTGCTGGCTGCCCATGCTTCCTTTTCACATTGGGAACCTTGGATATGAACTTGACTGTGCACTGACCTTCGGAGCAGGGGGTAATGGAGGAAAGGAGTCATAACTCTGAACCATCCATGGAGAGCCAGGCCCATCTACTCAAGGGTTGAATTCTTTCCTGGGTGCTGTGAACAGGTCCCAGAAAGTCAGCTACAGCAGTGGGTCTCACCTGGGGCGGTCCTACCCCTAGGGGACTCAGGCAATGTCTGGGGACATCTGTGTTGGTCACACTGTGGCTGTTTCTAGCATAAGATGGGTGGAAGCCCTGTCCTTCTCAGAATCCAGTTTCTTAAGTCAGATTCCCCTTTTCTGTTTAAGATATCTAAAATTCAAAATTCCAGGAAATCAGACACACAGCTCACCAGCTGGGGCACGTCTGGAACTTCCCAGAGTAAAAACCCAACTTCCCAGCCAGTGCCGGGGGATTTTGTTAAACCTCCATTTTATGAGGCTCTGGTGATGTGAGAACAGCTCCCAAAAGATGATTAATGGCTGACTCTTCCATGAACTTAAGAGCTCCGCCTCAGAGCACTTCCACATAAGAAACACCCTGCCCTAAACTTGTTAGATGAATCGCCCAGTTCAAAAACTGGGCCCTGGCCAGACAGCTCAGTTGGTTGGAGCACTGACCCCAGTATGCCAAAGTTATAGGTTCGATCCCCAGTCAGGGCGCATACAAGAATCAACTAATGAATGCATAATTAAGTGGAACGACAAACTGATGTTTCTCTCTTCTCTCTCCCTTCCTCTCTCTCTAAAAATAATGAAAATTAAAACATAATAATAATGAAGTAAAAAGTTCAGGAACTGAACTAGCCTTCTGTGTGAATCCCCTGAGGAACTAAAATACTGCTTTTGCTGAGAAGAGGCGGGGGAGGGGAGAGGAGGACAGGAGAGAGACGGGCGGACAAAGGACGGAGACTGGAGCTAGTCACAGTTACCTCGCACACGGGGACACTGAGCTCAGCTCTGTAGGAGATGCAAAGATGATAAAGACACACTCTCTCCTTTAGGGGTGTTCCTATGAAAAGTAAGCTACCAGGTGTGAAAAGACAGGAGGAACTACGAATGCATATGTCGAAGAGAAAGAAGCCAGTCTGAGAAGGCCACACTGTGATTCCAGCTCCAGAACATTTTGGAAAGGGTGGAACTACGCAGACACTAAAAGGTTCAGTGGGTGCCAAAGGCTGGGAGAGGCAAGGATAAACAGGCAGAGAACAGAGGATTTTTAAGGCAGTGATACTACCCTGCATGACATTGTCATGGTGGATACACGTCACTATGCATGTGTCCCAACCCAAAAAATGTACAACACAATGAGTGTCAACGATGGACCTGAGGGAACAGTGACCTGTCAGTGTAGGTTCATCCTGTAACTAATGTCCTGCTCTGGTTGGTGAGGTTGGCAGTGGCTGTGTGTTCTTAGGGGGCGGGGGTGTAGAGGGTAATAGGAAATCTCTACGCCTTCTGCTCAGTTGCACGATGAGCCTGAAACTGCTCTAAAAAATAAAGTCTATTAAAAAAATTATAGCTAACATTAATTCACCAATTACGACACATCAAGCATTTGGCTAAAACCTTTAAGCAGCTCAACCCTTTGAAGAAATTACTAAAGCTGCAAACAGGAAGCAGAAAACCATGAAGCCTAGCAGAGCAAGAATTGAACGTATATTTGCAGAAGGAATAAACACCAGAGAAGGCATTAGAAATATAATGTGTGCCCAGGCTTAATTTCAAATTTTCCAGTGGCTACTACTTGAAAAGCAAGGAAATGAAAAGAAACAGGTGAAATCAGTATTCATAATATATTCTATTTAATCAATCCAAGGGCAAAAAATATCAACACCTAATGAATATAGAAAGTATTAAGGACATAGTCTGTCTTTTTTAAATCTATGAGTCTCTTGTGATCTGGTGTGAATTTTGTATGTGTAGAAGGTTCTAATTTAATAGCCATGTTTCAAGGACTTACTAGCCACGTGTGTCAAGTAGCTGCAGCCCTGGATAGCTCAGCCACAGAGGGGAAAACCCACCTGTCAGAAAACAGCAGCAATGGAACAGGTGTTGTGTGAGGTGGGTGTAGAATGGACCCCAGGGAGGAGAAAGGCAGCCATCAGAGCCGGATCTGGGATGAAGAAACAAAGGATGCCTTCTGGGATGGAGGCGGGGCGGAGCCAGGGCAGCCAGGACTTTCATTTGCTGTCTTCTCACACTAGCCCCTTCAACGAGTTCTGGTAACTGACTGGCACACACTACGGCAAGCACGTGGAGGGAAAAACCATTCATTCCTTAAGACGTCAAACAGAACGGAGGGCGCACTACAGCTTAAGGCTTCTGGGAGTCTGCAGCCCCTTGGCATCCCTGAGATGCCTGAGATTTTATATCTCAGCACTGAGATATAAAATAGGCTGAGAGGCCCTTTTATGTTGGATGAAGGAAGGGATGAGAAAGCAATTACCTAGAGGCCACGTGCGTCTAACACCAGCAAATCCAAAAATAGATAGTACAGACAGGCCCCTGGACTGTGAAATATGCAAAAGTACACATGCATCATATTCAAAATTTATCCGACTATGTGCTTTGAATATGCGCAGTGGATTGAATGGCAGTTAAACCTCTATCAAAGTTTGCAAAAACACGTAGAAGAATCTTACTCCAAAATTAACACTGGCTCTTTGGGTGGTAGGTCACCCAAGATTAATTTTCCGCTTTGTGACTTTCCAACCAGCCCCCTTTCCCTTTCAAGTGCCATTTTATAAAATACATGGTCACTTGAAACCAATGACAGCCCACCAGCTTCAGAGAGGGAGTTGCGAAGTCCTGCCAATGGGCAGTGCGGACAACACCAACACCTCCCGCTCTGCCCTGTCCAGTGACTCTGGGGACCAGGAAGCAAGAAGCGCGCTTCTAAAGAGCCGATTCCCCGTCTGGGAACCCTGAAATCCTGTGGATCTGATTCAAACCATAGGCGGCGGCCTACGATAGTTAGTGTGACACAGTCTGGGTTTGACCCAAAAATGACATTTAGAGCCACGAATCGACCGAGGTCCACAACTCCCTTCCCGCCACCCGCGTTCGCCCCTCCGAGGTGTTGGACTTCCCGCGGCCCGTGTTCTTCCCTCCGAGGACCCACCTGCCGCTTCACGCAGACTGGCAGGGCCACCCTCGCCTCCGTTCTCCGTTTTCTGTCTCGGTATTCCGTCTCTGGCTCCTTCTCCCAGGTCCTCTGAACGCCGTTAGTCGAAGCCCCACCTCCTTCCGCGGAGGAACACCGCGCAGGGTCCACAGTCCACCCCGACCCCGCCCGGCCGGATCTATTTTCGCTACTGGCCGAGATCTCCCCGGAAGTCTAAACTGAGAAGGGGAGCGCCCAGACCCCGCGCTCTGCGTTGCTTGGCAATCGAGGACGAGACGTGATGCCATTGGTTAGTGGACGGGAATGTGGGGAGGGGCCTTGAGCAGGGGCTGGCCCTGAAGGAGGAGCTTGCGCCGGCACTGGGACCACGCGAAGGGCGCGGTTTCAGGGTGGAGCCATCTGGCGAGTGGAGACTTTCCCGCTGTGGCGGTTCTTGGGCGGGGCCTGGAGGCTGAGCCTGCCTCAGCATTTATCTATTGAGGGGAGGGCCCTGAGCTTGGGGCGGAGCCTGCGCCGGCAGCGATCTGGGGCGTGGCCTGGGACGAGAAAAGCTCCCTTGGTTGGTGAGCGGCGGACAGGTGTGGCGTGGGAGGTGCCCTAGGTTGGCAGGCGGCGCTCACGGCCAGGACTGGGTCAAGCTGTGTGCCTGGGCCCCCGGCGCGCTGGCCCGCTGCTTGCCTACACTGCCACGGCAATTTTGCAGAGAAGTTCTCCTTACACTGCCATCGTGTGAACCTCAAACCCGGCGGGCGGGCGACATCCCCGTGTCGAGCTAGCTGCTCACAGACTGGAGCCAGAACACGATGGACACCTGGCCATCCCCTCGGAGATCAGTGAGTGCGGGGGAAGAGGGGGGCCCCGGGCGCATCCCTGGTCCATCCAGAAGACCCAGGCCCAGGCTACTTACTCGCCTCCCCTTCCCCTTCCTGGCCCCGGCCCGGGAGAAGCTTGACCAAGTGGCAAACGCCGTACCAGATGATGGACCAGCTGTACCAGGGGAAGATTTATTTTCTGGCTAAGGGGGCGGCCCACCCACCCCAAGACACCTCAGTCCGCCCACCTCTCATACTTGCCTTCCTCTTGCCTCCCCCCATCAGGGTATTTCCCTAACGAACTTCTAGTCATCTTCCAGTAAGAGACCATTTCCTGCAGCAATTGCAAGTAGGAATGGCGATGTGCTGAGGGCCCCATTGTCCAAGGGGTCCAGGGCTCTTCCCAAGAGGCCCATCCTCCACCTCATCCCTGCTTTTCACTACCTGGGTAGGACGGCGTGTAACGGCTGGCCCTTCTCTGAACTTGGGGCCACACTGCCTCTACACACACGTGCCACACTGCAGGTCGTCTGTGCAGAGGACAACGGTTGTGCAGGGTCTCCTCCTTTACAAGTGAGTCTTTGTAGAACTAATTGGCAAAAGTAAGTACCCCCTCCCCAAACCCAATGTGAATTTTATGAGAGGTAGTAGGTTGAGTATTTGTAGGGACAGCCACCAGGAGGCAGGACCTTGCCCCTGTGCTCAGGGCCCCAGCCCCTTTCCCTCAAGGGTTTCTGAGCTCAGCTGGCACAAAGTGGGCAGATCATCCTGACTAAAGGGTCCCTCCCCCACGGGGTCTGGTCTGACTCCTGCCCCAAGTGGGTGTCAGGGCTGTGGTCAGAACCTAGGAGGGTACCCCATGATAGATGTGTCCCAGTGGAGTGCTTTGGGGCACAAAACTTGGAGTTAACTGGGGCCTTCTTGTGTCTTTCAGACAGAACATCAGCACAAGGTGAGCCCCACTCTCCTCTCCATAGCCCTGGCCTGGCAGTGGTGCTGGGGAAAACAATAGCGTGGTGTGGGGCTCTCCAGGTGAGTGGTGGCAGATGAATGTGGGTGTTGGACGGGGCAGGCACAGCCAGGCAGGGCTCTCTGCACCTGGGATATGCCAGACATCACTTGTGCTGCCACATCCAGGTGATCGCTTCGTGAACATGCCCTCCTCACCGCTTGGATGCACAAAATCACTCCAGCCTTGTGAGTTGTCTAGAGGGAGGAATCTGCATGGATGGGGAGCTGGGGGAGGGGGCCCAGACAGCAGCACAAGCCAGGATGTGGATCAAAACCCAGGAGCTAATTTACCACAGACCCACCCAGGAACTTTTGCAGCCCACTGTGGGAGTTGGGTGGGGACAAGAAAATAGGGCCTCCCAAAATCAGCTTTGAGGGTCTGTCTGCAACCCTGTCACATGCCCCAGCTGGGAAAAGAGGCACAGTTCCCTAGCAAATATCCACCAGTTAGAGGGAAGCTGGGAGGGGAGAGGAAGTACTGAGGCACCTGTGTCTCTCTGCAGCCAAGCTTCACATGTCTAGAACCCCATCACCTGGCAAACCTGACTTTTGAAAATGCTCCCAAGTGCCTGAGCAGCACTGATGGCTGCTGGCCCCAGCTGCAATGTGGAGCCAGGTCTCAGCTGGGCTGTCCCAGTCTGACCCTATGAACCAGGCTTCTTGTTCTCTGGAGTCCCTGCACCCTCATCAGAGCCCAGGCAGGGCCAGGGCTGGGAGGGGGGTAAGGGATGAGTTATATATAGCAGATGCCAGGTGGGATTTCAGAGCTATATGAAGAATGATGAAATGTTCCTGACATGTCTCATCACAGAGCAGTCCCTGTGAGGTCAGGGAGGACCGTGTGAGGCAATGGGCTGGGTCCCCAGGCAAGGCACATCTGGGTCATGGGCACAAGGTTCAGGGGTTCCCACATCAATCTGACTGCATGTAATTTGGCTGAGTGTACCTGGGCAGGCCCACCCGGAAATGAGTGTATTTCCCACCTGGAAGCATGTATATTCCTCTGTTGACTCAAAGTGACATTACAGTCTGGTCAAACAAGGCCTGCTTGGCTTGTGTGTCCTGGGGCTCAGCTTGCCAGGTCACATAGGGCTGAACCTCAGCCCAAGGAACCCTACAGCACTGCTTCTGAAATCACTCCTCGTGGGTTCTGATTCAGGCTGGACAGCAGTTCCCAAGACAGGAGGGGGGTTGGAGTGCTGCCCACAGCACCTTTTGTGACTGTCTGTCCCAAGCCTGGCACTCCTTTCTCAGCCTGGCTGCCATTTCTCCAGCTCCCTCTTGCTCTCACAGGGAGCTGGGCATGCATGCTTGGTCAGGAGAGTCACAGAGGTGCCGATGGACCCTGCAGGGCTGGCTTCCTCCTGAGGTTTCGCTGACCGAGTGTTTATTTGGCAGGGATTAGACAAAATGCCACGAGAAAGACTCAGGTGATAGTTGGGTAGACAGACATATAGCTGAGTCAGAGGATGTCTTCAAAAAGCACCTTTCACAGGCATGCATGCTGGGAGCAGGGCTGGCTGATCACCAGGATCCTGGTCACCCTGTCAGTTTCTGCCACCTTGGACTTTGCCTTTTCCAGCCTGAGGGGCTGGCAAAGGGTTGGTGTGTTGCAGGAACCACTCTTTCCCACTAATGGGGAAAGCCTGCTGGCGGCGGACAGTGGTAGAAGGCAGGGTTGCCGAGGCTTTTCTCCCCATTGATGCCCCAAGTGGGGTTTAGTGTGCGGCTGGTTTGTGCCTGTGGTCTTCATCCTCCCACCCCTGGGAATTTAAGTTGGAGCTGATTTGGGCTTTCTGTCCACTGACCCAGACTGCCCACGTTTGAGAAATACCTGGCCGTGCAGTGTCAAAAAAGGCAGTGGACACGTGAATGCACAGAGCAGCACTGCCTTCCAGTACCTGCTCCTGCCACTCAACCCCTGTACCAGTGCGGTCCAGGGAAGGGGTGTGTGATGGCCACTGCGTTGTTGTTGGACCCTATGGGGCCCCAGGGACCTAGACGGCATGGGGACTGTGTCAGCTCCCGAGAGGATGCTGAATGGGCAGGCGGGGGGACAGGGCTTCCCAGCATGGGGCAACCTCCATGGGGGCTGCCCCACAGCCCCCATCTGACCAGACCCTGAGCAGCTCAGGGATGGATGTCCAGAGATGTTGGCCCTATGACCACCCCACCTTGGGCTGTGGGGCAGTGCCCCTGGCTAGGACACCCAACAGGTAAATGTGTTTTGCAAGTTTATTGGATCATCTTGACACAAAATCATGACAGCAGCGTGATATGTCTTTCCTTTACACGGGAATGTTGATAGCAAATTCTTATATAACACATCATACAATTTTGAGATTCTAGAATCACTGCACAGGATTCTGCATTAGATTACATGCTAAAGTGACAGTTTTCATCAAAAAGAAAGTAAAAACATCATTGAGGACCATCATTTGAGAAAAATCTCATTGGGGTGGGCTGGAGTGCTCTGGCCTGCCCATGAGACACATTAAGGGACCCAGCCTCCTCCCCAGGACACATGTGCTTCACCACAGGGGCCATGGGGTTGAGGACTGGGACCTCCCAGCAGCTGTGGGCACGATGTAAGGATAAACCCTGCCAGTGACGAGAGGGGGGACCTGGAATCATAGCACTCCACCACTCACCCCTAACGTCAACCAAAACATATTCTACCGAACAGAAAACCGTGAAAACCAACAAGGTCCAGCCTCAGCTCTGTTAGGGGTCCTGACTACTGAACCCCCTCCCTTGCTCTAGCCCCCTACCGGAGCCTTGGTGTCCACCACCGTTCTCTACCTGGCATATGATCATGGCAATGGGACACAGAATCCAATGGACAATGGCCTACATGACCCTTTTCCCACCACGTGTCCTGGGAAAACAGAACTGACTGTGGCTGTGAGGATGAAGGGGAATGTTACTGTGGTAAGCAGCCAGCCCATTTCTCATGCCCCTAGGTACCATGTGGGGACTTGGGGACTTGATGACTTTACAGAAGCGGGACACACCTCCATCTTGTCCACTGAACACCCATCACCTGGGCCCACTGGCCAGACCCCTGGCCTGGACAGTGGTCACGCTTACTCCTTGGGCAGCTACTGCAGCTCTGTGCAGCTGGCCCTGGCTACAGGAGTCACTGATGGTTTGGGGACTGGATGGCTTTCTCCCCAGAGAGGCGGAAGAGTCAAAGTAAAAAAGATGACAGAAGAAATCAATGGACATATGACCTCAATGTCTAACCGGTGACGACACTGGACTTAAATTAATGCCAGGATGGACAGTACACGTGACAGAGGAGAAACTAGCGCTTGGAATCTGTCTCTCCTTTGTGTCCTCTCTGTGGTGGCCTCAGTGGTGACACTCAGCACTTCGCCAGCGTTGCCTTCACCTCCTCCAGCAGGTTGCTGAGTAGAGTGGCGTCACCACACTTCCCGTCCACGGACACAGACTTCTCGCCCTGTGGGGGAGAGACGCTGCTTGGTATATTGAAAACTACATGGAAGTCTTGCCTCACAACTACATGTACTGTAGTTTGGGGTTTCCCAAATACTGTCCGATATGCGGGCGCTTTCAAAATCAGAACAAGGTGGAGGGGTCCCCAGGTAGATGGCAAATGGAACCTGGACTGAGGCCAGCAGTGGCAGCTGGGGACCCATGACCAGAAGCAGCTGCGAAGAGCTTGACAGAGTGGGGTGACCACTTTATGGCTGGGAACCCCAGAAAGAGCATCCAGAGTCTGAAGGATTCTGCGGAATAGCTTGGGGAAAGTGACCTGAAATGCTGCTCATGAACCAAGGGTCTGCCTAGAGCTGAATACCCAGGGCCCTTAACCTTTCGGGCCAGCGCACCAGACCTGAGGACAGAGTACTGCCCAGTCCTGGCTGCACATATGGGGCATGCAAGGCAGCTCCACACTATGGAGAACAAAGGCAGTGAAAACTGATGGACACTGGAAGTAGGAATCCTGAAGCCAGAGCCTATGTATTAACATTCTTCCCATGATTAAGCAAGGCCCAGAGAGTCTCAACATATTCAAAATGTCCAGGATACAGCCCCAAGTTACTCAGCATACAAGGCCAGGCCATCTCAGCTGCCTGGGAAGGACAATCAGTAAACACCCACGCTGATACAAGGCAGATGTCAGACCGATCTGACAAAGGCAGTGCAGCAGCTGTTATGAGAATCTCCCAGAAGCAATCACAACACTCTTGAAACAAAGAGAAAACAGATCATCGCAGCAAAGTAATGGAAGCTTTAAAGAAACCTCTAATGGAAACTGATAATCCAAAATAGGATAACCGAAATAAAAAGCACACTGGATGGGCTCACCAGCAGGATGGACACAACAAAGGAAAGAAGCCAGTAAACTTGACAGCAGGTTACTAGAAAGACTCTTCCAGTCTGAGCAGATAGCACGAGGGGTGGGATGGGGTGGGCAGAGCCTCAGAGTTAGAGAACAGCAGCGGAAGGTGTGGGTTCACATCTTCAGGCTCCCTGGAGAGTATAGAGAATGCAGTGCCGAAAAAGTAGATAATAATACCTGAAACCCCAAATTTTGCAGAGAAATATATGCAAAGAATCACCAAATTCACCAGACTTCGAACAGACAAACCCAAAGACATCGATGCCCAGAAATAACATAAAGTGCCTGAAACCAGAGACAAGGAAAACCCAGAGAACAGCCAGGAGTCACACTTCCCATAGAAAGAATAAATAAATAAAGGTGCAGAGGAGTGCAGACTTCTCATCAGAAACCATGGATACCAAGTCAAAATGGCATATTTTTAAAGTACAGCCAGTCTCTGACTTACGATGTCTGGACTTTAAGATGGTGCATAAGCAATTTGCATGCAGTAGAAACTGAACTCTGAGTTTTGAATCGGGACCCTTTCCTGGCTAGTGATGTGCAGTACAGCATTTCGTGGGCTGCTGGGCTCCTTCCTGTCAGCCTGGTGGTCCTGAGGGTGAACAACACATACTCTGCAGCATGCTGTATTGATGCTAGTGTTTTCTGAATCTTGTGTTCTGCACACCTTTAAAGCAGGCTGGGCAAATTCTGAAGTTTGGTGGGTTAAGTATATCAAATGCATTTTCAATTTATTAGGGTTTTTCAGGATGTAACCTATTATAAATCAAGAAGCACTGTACTAAGAAAGGACTATCAAAGCCAGAATTGTAAACACAGCCAAAGTAGTCCTGAGGAATGATGGTTATAAAGAATAACCTTGCCCTGGCTGGTGTGGCTCAGTGGGCTGAGTGCCAGCCTGCAAATCAAAGGGTTGCCTGTTTGGTTTGCAGTCAGGGCACATGCCTGGGTTGCAGGCCAGGTCCCCAGTAGGGGACACATGAGAGGCAACCACACACTGATGTTTCTCTCTCTATTCCTTTCCTAAAAATAAATAAATAAAAATCTAAAAACAACAACAACAAACAAACAAAAAACAGATGAAGGACTACTGAGAGATTTGTAGCCAACAGACATGTCCTAAAAGAACTGTTAAATAAAGTTTTCAGACAGAAAGGATGAAGCCAGAAGATGATGTGAACATTAGGAACAAAAGAACAGAAACACTAAACGTGGGTGGGCACAGCAGACACCCTGCTCTTCAGGCCCCAGAGAACCACTGAGGATTGAAAACAGAAGTGTAACATGACACGATGGCA